GAGAGATTTGTGCCGTTAGGGCAAAAACTTCTCGCTGTCTCTCTGCACTTGCCAGAGAGATAGAAAGTGAGAAATCATCCCCCAAGGGGATGGCCACGCCACAATTCTTTTTTTTCCATTTTCCTCTTAGGGTTTGGGTATGCATAGACACACTCAGTATGAGTTTCAGGCTGCTGTGGAGGGTGCTTTCTCACTTTCCTTCTCTCTCTGTGTCTCTCTCTGGTGAGCGCACACGCCCTATGTAGCAAATTTTTAAAAATATGTATTATCATTTAAGCCATCTTAAAGTTATTACTGTGGCATTAAGTATGTTCACATTGTTGTCTATTCCAGAACACTTTCATTGCCCCTACCAGGCATCAGGTTAAGGAATTAATTGGTTACTCCCTCATTTCCTTGGCAACCACTAATCTACTTTCTGTTTCTATTGGTTTGCCTGTTCTGGACGCCTCATGTAAATGAAATTATGCAATATGTGGCCTTTTGTGCCTGCCTTCTTTCACTGAGCATGATGTTTTCAAGGTCCATCCCTGTCATAGCACGTCTCAGAAGCAAATTCCTCTTTAGAGCAGAATACCCTTCCACGATACAGCAAGTGCAATGTCTTCTCCCCGGGAAGAAACCGAGGCCCAGGGAAGCCACCCGACCTGTGTAAGGTCACAGCACTGGGAAGAGGTAGGGTGAGAAGTATTCCCAAGTCTGATGGGATCTAGAACTTGCTCTCTTCCTTCCTCCTTTAGCACCTCCTGTTTTCAAATGCTGTCCCATTTGCCCCTCACAAGAGCCCACACATACGTGGGATAATCGTGTCCATTTTCGAATTGAGAAGACAGGTGGGGAGGGTGACTGCCTGAGGTCACTTGGAGAGTTGTCAGGACCAAGGGTCCCAGTCCCCACTAGCACAGCAGTACATACTGCTTTAAAATGGCAGCCGAGGGCCAGCCCCTAGCATAGTGATTAAAGGACTGGATTCCATGTGGCTGACCACAGGTTCAAATCCTGCATGCTGGGTGCATGTGCAAATGTGCCCAAGATCCTGACAGGATGAAGAAGTGGAGAAGGGATTGTGGCATGACCACACCCCATTGGGGGATGCTTCCTCTCCTCCCCTTCCCCTGTCTGTCTGTCTCTGGCAAGTGCACACACCCTCTGGAAAACAAAACAAAACAAAACATTATAAGTAAATAAATTGGCAGCCAAGAGGGCAGAGACCCCATGTCTTTCCCCCTCCAGAGAAGCACTGGCATGCAGTGACCAAGGCCTATGCTGGCGCTGTCCTGTAGAGCTGTCTCTGCTGACGGAAGTGCCCCATATTATACCGTCCATGGTAGCCACTAGGTATATGTGGCCATCAAGCCCTTGGAATATGCAGTGTATGAAAAACCTTTTTTTTTTTTGAGAGAGAGAGATTTGTGCCGTTAGGGCAAAAACTTCTCGCTGTCTCTCTGCACTTGCCAGAGAGATAGAAAGTGAGAAATCATCCCCCAAGGGGATGGCCACGCCACAATTCTTTTTTTTCCATTTTCCTCTTAGGGTTTGGGTATGCATAGACACACTCAGTATGAGTTTCAGGCTGCTGGGTCCGGGACTCGAACTGCAGTTGGCCATGTAGAAATCCAGCCCCTTAACCACTATGCCACCTACCCCAGTATGACTGAATTGTTTATTTCTACTTAAGTTTCCTATAATGTCTACAGCCAGTTTAGACAGCTGGGCTCTGAGAATATGAGGAGACGCGAAGACCTCTCTGAAAGTGCCCATACCCAGAACACGCCCAACCTTTGTTGGTTCAGGATCGCGGGAGAGCAGTGGACTAGGAGTCCGGAGCCTGGATGCGCAGCCCAGCTGCCACCCACGTCTGAGACGAGGCCAGGTCTCACTCCCTCTCTCAGCTTCTAAGGCTGAACAGTGACATTGCCAGAGCCCACACTTCAGGACTTTGCCCTCACCCTGTGGGTGGGCCCCCTTGATAAGGACAGCCACAGTGACTACTTGTGGAATACTCACTGTGTGCTAGCCTTTGGGCCAAGGCACCCACCTGTGTTAACTCATTGGTCTCTCTTAACAGCCCTTTGAGGACCCTGGGGCTCAGAGAGGTTAAGTAATTGAATGAAGGTCATACAGCAAGGAAATGTCAGCACCAGGATTCAGACTCAAGGAGACTGGCCCCAGAGGCCACATTTCCAGCCTCCAAACACAGGGCCAAGGCTATCCTCACCCCTCCCTGGGGCCACTTCAGGGAATGGCTAGAGCAGGGCAGCGAGGCTAAGTGTCAAATGGTGGCCCCATGTGAGGCGAGAGACCAGTCATGGTCATTTTCACGTTCAACTTCTCGTTCCCCTACTCCCCTCATGAGAGTGAGTGACCCTAATTTCTCTAGGACTAGGGGGCTCTTGGCTTGGGAACCCAGGGAAGAAGCTCCGACCAGACTCGTTTGCCCGACCTCAGCCACAGACCGCT